TTCTTCCTCTACCTGCTTTTCCTGGAAGTACCTCTTGGTCGTCTGCGCTCCTTCCCTGCCTGCAGGCTATATCCCTGTATCTTCATCCCTGGGTACCTCGCAGAGGTCACAACAGCTTTTGCCATGTCCCTGCTGCCAGCCGTTCTCCAGGGGTGTCTGGGCATGCAGGATGGTAGTGCACCCGTAGGGTTGGGCTTGACTTGGTGTGTGTCCAGGTCACACACCCAGAGCCGTGGGCCTGGCGAGCAAGCATGGCTATTGAGGATTATTAGACTTGGAGGTTTCTCGTTCCTTTCTGAAGGGGTGGACATTGCATCTTCAAGAGAGGAAATCCTAGAACGCTTCCTGCATTTGAGTGAAAGAAGAATTGGCAGATGTATGAACTTTACTATGCGAGTATCAAAACTTATTTTTTTCTCTGAATGTCTTCTCAGATTGTACTTCCTTGATGTGGGATGTTAGACTTAGGCTGGTATGATGAAATTCAGTCCAGAATACATTAGATCAGTATTGTAATGTCAGAGCCAGTAGTAATTACTTCTCAAAAGTCATAAAACAAGTTAAATTTTAAAAAAACCCAACATGATAGTTAGGTTTAGAAAGAGCAAAAGTGAGGTAATTCAAAGCAACCTAGCTTCTATCACCAGGACCATGTTGAAACATGGTAAAAATGTTTACAAGCATCTGTGTATTGATTCAACAACTTAATATTGTTCCAAAAAGGGGAGGGGGGAAAGTAGTGTTATGGTGAGATATGAAAGCAGGTGAGAAATATGCAAGATCTAGTATTTTATCCATCCTATTGAATTAAAGTGGTGTATTATTTTGGACACCAGACTTCATAATAAAGTGAATATGCATAGGAGAGATTAAGGAAAGCAAAAAATGCAATCTAAATTCCATAAGTCCTGTTCTGTGATTCCTGAAGTGAAATTAAAGAACTAGGAACTGCAAAAAGAAAGTGAGCAAGATGCATGGTAAGTTTTCAGATATATGAAGTGTAATTGTGAAGACAGAGGAATTACACTGTTCCATGAGAGCATTATCAACATGTCAAAGAGTGAGATTCGGTTTGAGATTAAGACATCCCAATATAGGTGTTTGAGTTTCTGTTATGGTAAATGGAGATGCAGCGGATGCAGAGTGCACCTATTTGTTTGGATCAAATTGTGCTTCAAAGCAAATCTCCAGTGTGAATCTGATCCCTCCTGGGTGAAACTGCGTTGGGAGATGCATCCATCTACTCGTGGGTGTTTGGTCTGTGGGACCAGGCTAAATTTAGTCTGAAGCAGCAACCACAAAACATGGGTTGTGTAGTGTTGGGTTCTCAGTAGCAACTGTGTTGCTCTACAGATCCTCTCGTATTTGGCTTACAAAGTAGACATGGCTACAGTCAGTGGAGTCCAGAGAGGAAGAGAAGATGTAGACTGGCTTTGGGGTGAATTGAAATGCTCTCTGATGTCCTTGTCTGTATTGGTTATATTTCTGTTGAGTATAACAGTTTAGGCAGTTAGCATTCATGTAGACATGTAAATTTGTGTGCCTTAATCTGAAACTGAATCTCATCCAAACAGCAATATGATCAACTTGCAAAGACTTAAAAATTAGGATAATAAAATTAGCATAAAAATTAACAAGCACTTTTCCATCTGTAAGGTTAGCTAGGCACTGCCTTAGGTTAGCTAGTGAGGCTGTGGGACCTCCATCACTCGTTTTTAAGAACAGGTTAAACAGTTGTCAGGAAGCACTTAGTGTAGTTCATCCTGCCCCAGGGCCAGGAGATGGACTAGTAGATAACCTTGGATGGTCTCTTCAGCCTGGTTCTCTAAGTGTGGAAGATCTCCACTTGTCCATCATCTTCAACACCAAACTGACTAACAGGAGGTGTGAGATCCAAATCTCCAGACACAGCATACACGAAAGACCGCATTTCTAGGACTTACTGTTTCATAGCGTAGCAAATACAGACGCATATCTTCTTGCTTCCTTGCTCAGTCCGCACCTTTACATTATAAAGCTACGCTGTGTCTGTCCTTTAGTCACTTCCTGACTCTACATGAACATGGATTTGGGCAAGAGCAGCCTTGCACTCCCTATATACACAGCAGTCACTCCCTTCTTTCTCCTGCCCTCTCACCTACTCCTGCTGCTTTTGTGTAGCATTTCATTCCATTTCTATTACTTCAGGCCTCGGGTTTTCCACCTCGTTTTCTGTAACCACCCAGTTTTCTTCTGACAGTGCCTTCTCAGCTCTGTGTCATAAACAGGCGTCATCAGTAGATGTCTATTTTTTGTGTCAAGGCTATTATCCACATCAAATGACAGACAGAGCTTTCCTACTCTAAGCCTTTTAATAGAAGGCAGCTCTAGGATATCAAAAAAGGGGAAAATTCAGAATTCAACACCTATTGGATATGTGACTTTACAATTTTTCTTGAAGAAAATTTTATTGAAAAGTGCTTTTCCCCTTTTTAAAATTTTTGGATCCTTTAAAGAATTTCAATAAAAATGCAGGATCCCTTTATATATTTGTTCCAAATCTAGTTATGCATCTCACAAATAAAATTGCCATTCTTAAACACCTTTTATTGATGTCTTAAGGTCCATTATGAGGTTGCCTGTGGGCCACAGATAGAAAAGTACAAAATTTAAAGTACTTTTTACTGTCTTAGCAATGAAACAGGATGCTTTGCAGCATTTGCAAACAAATTAATTTTTACTTTTAGTTATCTTTATGAGAGACTTCCTGTTTATAATGGCTAATGGGATTTTCTCCGCTTTCTTGATAATGCACGTCAGTGGAAGACCTGCTTTTTCTTGGACTTCAGATGCTTTAGTTTATACTGTGGTTCTCAGGTTTCCAGTACAAGGAAACTTCTCACCTTCTGCCTCTTGTCTCCATTCAATATTGAGACAAACACTTTTCCCTTCAGTTTACCAGTAAGATGTTTACCAAGGATGTTCACAATGACATCTTGACAACTATTCACCTTGCAAAAGAGTTGTGGCTTCTGTTGGAAAACCTTGACTGTAAACAAAAATCCTCCTGTCACTCTTGCTGGTACAATCTTATTAATCATAAAAATATATTTTTTAAATCCATATAACTAATAAAAACAAATAAGACCAAGAATATTAATGAAAACAACTTGATCTAATGTGTAAGATCCTGTAGCCCTCACAGTGCATATCTGTTAGGGAACTTAGTGCTTGCTGATTTTTGTCTTTGGAATATACACATTGGGAAAGTTGCCATTTGAAAAATAGTTTTGTTGTGCAAGCTGAAACAGCAGTCTTCGACATTGCTCAACACCATCCACTGTACTGCTGCATTGTGTGGGAAAGAGATAACATCTTTTTTAAAAAGAAAAGCTGTCATTGATTCATCAATCAAGGCTGAGTCAGAGCGATGAACAGGCAGAGTCCAGTCAACAGTCTAGAAACCAGTCAAAGAGTAACACAAAGAAATACTCCTTGACTTATTTCAGTAGGAAATCACCTTTTCTGTGCCTGCTTTGCCTTAGGCATTAGTATTTAAAAAAAAATACAACTAAGATCCAAAGTGTCGGTAGATGTAATAGTTCTGCGAACAATAAAAGTATTCTCTTCTCTGCCTATACGAAGCTCAAAAGCTCTATTTGTTGGTTTCACATGTTGTAATAACCTACTTTTTGTTATTGTTGTTTCCCAGTGCCTACATTTCTGTGGGTTTTTGTTACTTGTGGAGTCTGGTGCCTGGAGACTGGTCTCTGGTAATTTGACTGATGGCTCCAGTTCCTTCCATCTAGCATGGTGCATCGAGCAGTCCTAGGCTATCCTGGTGCACGAAGAGATGGGCAGTCCCAAAACTGGATGTATGTTGGTGTATAAGGTTTTGTCAGAACAAGCATGATTTGCTTGCTAGCGTCCACATGTCTCTGCCTTATTTAAGGGATGTATGTATTTATCTGCCATTTATCCTCCCAGCAAGGTGCTAAGTAGAGAGCTGGTTCTGTTGTTTACGCTTCAGCAGACGTTTTGATTAGTGCTTGCTTTTAAACGTTATCTTACCTGTGCTGTTCTCTCATGTGGTTGGTAACCCACCACAGCCTGTATAATCCATGATTTGCCTAGAAGAGAGAGCTTCTTCAGGGTGCTGCTGGCAACCAACACTTACTTTAATTAATGGCAAATTCCCATCATTTTGGAATACTGAAGTGTTATTCAGCACTAAAAAAAATGGTTGTTTAAAAATTACTATAAAATCTGCATTTATTAAAAAAAAAAGATTAATTGCTCATTATCTGTTTCCTGCAGGGAGAAGAGTGCAAAACTTAATAATTATATAATTATAGTGTATGTTTTTAATGTGAATGGTTATGGCTAAAATTTTCAGAAGCTGTTATGGGTAAATAGTATATATTAATTGATAGAGGTCAGATGCCCTCTTCGTTACGGTTTTGCTGTTCTTACGGGGTAGGTTATGTCAGTTAAGTTCTATTACTGCTAAAGTGACATAGAATTAATAATGATTATCATAACTTCCATTGCAGATCTGTTTGAATTATGGAAATGGACTCTATGTGAAGGTAGGAAATAATGGAAAACTGCTTTTCTTTATCAGTGCCTGAAGATGCGCTCTCTGAGCAAAGAGCTGGTGTCAAAGGCGTGCTTTACTTCAGCTGATAAATATCTTGATTTTTACCATTTTCTGAAACATGAAAGCTGTGAAATGAAAGCCAATATCAGTGAATAGATTCCCACATCCATCAAACCGAGTGGTATTCAACTTTGAGAAACTGCCTCTAAATTATTAAATTTGTAATTTAATTTTTTTAATTCTCTGTAAATTAAATCACCTATTATTTTATGGAAGATGTTAATTGTGGAAACATTTTGAGTTGTTAATCTGGAAGCCAACCGACACAGGGGCAGTTGAGCAAGCATAGCAGAGATAGTGGGTGGGTTGAAGAGAGGCCTGCTGTTTTCATGTATTCTGCTTCAGAGAGAGTATTGGTGGGATGGTAAACGGGGTAATAAGGCTGAAATGGTGGTTCAAAACAGCCTTAGTGCCAAACTTCTTCCCACATCCGATGACAAGCACTTAAATCTTCCAGAACAGGTGTTATTTTCACCAACTCCTGGTCATGGGAACTTGCTTATGTATTTAAAGCCTGTCTTACTAATTCTGTCTTGATGAAAGGACTAGTGTAATTTCCTCTTCAAACAACTTGAGGAACATATAGCTCTTAGATTGTGGCTCGGAAGACTGGTGTTGCTCCATGATTTCGAAGTTACTAGGTATTGAAAGAGTAAAAGCTATTCAGAAGTCTGGGCAACAGCAGCAATAAAGCATTCATCTGAAATGGCTAAATGTAATGCTGACATTCACCCTTGTTTTTTCACAGGTTTATAATCGAAGTGGCAGGAGTGGCGTGTTGTCTCACCCCAGCAGCCTAGTGAGACACAAGAGAGAATGGACAGTCCCTCCGGCTTTCATACGGGAAGAGGAGGACAATTCCTATAAGAATCCAATTGCTAGAGTAAGCCCAGAAAAGACATAAATACAGAATACACATAAAAATAGAGATGAAAATGTAAAATAAGGGTGCGGCTGCCCTAAACACATGCACAAGTATTTCTTTAATTTTAAAGGACTATTAAATGTCAGTTGAAGATTGGCACATTTCTTTCCATTTCTTTCCTTCAGCAGATGAGGTGCTCTTGCAATTTGATTAGGCTCAGTCTCTTGTCTTTTCCCAGCCACCAGTTTTCATAAAACTTCTGGCGATGCAATGTCTTTGAGTTTTTTCACTCCAACACCCCTACTCAGCTGTGGCTGGACTTGGCAAGTGGGTCCCAAAACTGCTAGTGGTGATTCAGCAGAAGGGTATACATGGAGCATGACTATGTGTGCCTAATTTTTTAGGAAACAGAGGTAAAAATAACTAAGGTGTTACTCTTACTGTGCAAGAGTGATATGCATTTGTTTCAGCACCAGTGTTGAAACCACACTGTCACTTCAGCATGTAAAGTAACTGCAGATGGTAGCAGGCTGTTACCCTCTGCTTGGGCTGCCCCTTGATGGTGGTGCTGGCACAATGCACACGTGCTTTTCCAGATGCTTCAGGTGTTTGCTGACAGTAGAGGAAGGGTATGATCTCTAGTCTACACAGCCTCTTCTACCTCTTCCTCTCCAGGTCTGGCCTTTCTTCCTCCACCCTATCACTTCCTCAGTGGCCACACTCGCTTAGTTCTGATCTACCTTAGAAAGTTGTCATGTTTTATTTCTACATTTTTCTCAAGTAACTTCAAGTAAATCTCCCCTGCTCACAAATTGTTCCAGACTTACCCCCCGCCCCGCCCTTGGTCTTTCTCCACATTTTATTTGGCCCCATCCATTTGATCAGCCAGTTTCCTCCTTCTTCCTTCACTCCAGCTTTTCACCTTATCACAGTGGTTTTCCAGCCTTTCCTTGCACTTATATCCTATCCCATGCTCTTTGCCCAAGCAGTCAAAATTTTCTTCTCCCAGAGACCTCTCCACTCCACAGTTCCCAACTGTTGCACTACCCATCATGTCTGTCATCTCCCTGCACCAGATCCTCAAACATATGCAGCTCTTCCTGCATTCATCTCAACATCTCCGCACTCAAAGGAGTGCAGGGAAATGTGTTTAATGTTTATTTTTGTTTATTCATCACAAAAATAGCAAGAATATTTTCATTGTTTCAATGTGGTTTTATTTACCAAATGCTATTTAATCTGTTATATTCCTGCTAGATACATTCTGATCTTGAAGATACAGGGGTAGTGGTAACTTATACTATATCTGGTCAAGGAGTAACAGAACCCCCTTATGGATTATTTGTTATCAATGGAAAGACTGGAGACCTGAACATAACAGGAAGGGTGGACAGAGAAAAGACTCCAATGCTGCTTGTAAGTTGAATAGTAACTTTTTCCTTATAGGTGCCCTTCTATCCATTTTTTATTTATTTTGTTCAAATGTGTTTGCTTCAATTAGTTTTAATGTTACTGGATATTTGTGTGTGGATACGTGCTTATATTTATAAGCATATTATATATGCTTCTATAGTGCTTAGGTTTTGTTATATATATTATATATATCACAGTCACTCATTGGATTTGTTTATTGTTTTTGTCTGTATTACTTCAGCTTAGAGGTCATGCACTAGATAAGACTGGAGCAAAACTGGAAGAGCCAATAGACCTCCCAATTAAAATTGTGGATATAAATGACAATTTTCCAGTGTTTTCGCATGAAGTTTTTGTTGGTTCAATTGAAGAATTAAGTGAAACAGGTAACATTATTTTTAGAATTGTTTTTTTCATTTAGCTTTTCCCAACACATGCAAGGGCACAAGGGAATATACTCTTTGCAGCAGCATATCTGCAGTAACAAGGGTACGTTCTCTTGCTTGCGTAGGCCAGGTTATGCACATGTGAATGCAAGTTTTTATTCAGGGCTAAGCTGTGTGGTGTGATTAAGGGAAAGTATCCACATAAAGGCAACAGAGACAGCACTTCCTCTTAGGGCACAGTGTGGTTTGGTGTCAAAGCTACCACGAATCCAGGAACCAGAGTCCTTCAGCAGG